TTTTTTTTTTTTTTTTTTTTTTTTTTTTTTTTTTTTTTTTTTTTTTTTTTTTTTTTTGCAATGAGCCTCTCGTGGGAAGTAATATTAGGCAAAACAATGTAAGACAAAATGCGTTCATTTTTTTATGATGACTCCAATTGATACATATATATAGCAAAGATATAATAACATGGTAATTATTTTTAAAAGGTAAGAGCAAAAAATTAAATTATTTTAATTCAATTGTTAAATTAAAAAAGATTTGAACATTTCATCATTGTTATAAACTAAACATTAGAACTGCCACTTTAACTTGGCACAGCAAATATAGTTGTTCAACATAATAATTTTAATACAACAACTTAAGGATCATCACTGACTTGGCTTTACGTGACTAAAGATCGTGACAATCGTATTTGTGACACAAGAGATCGGATAACATGTTGAAATAACGTTTGCATATATCACAACTAAACGGGTGCCAATTAGCTACGTGTTTGTTGTAGTCACTGATGCGATGAAAAGATCGCGTACATGCCATGCAACGGTGGAAATGATTATCACGTTCGTGACTCACGAGACTATTTGAATCAGTGAATATTTTCTGACACTCGCCACATGGAAACAAATGCCAATTGCGCACATGATTCTCAAGACAACTGCTTCGGACAAAAGTTTGTGGGCATTGAATGCAGCGATGGTTGTGCTCAGACCCAATGTGTTTTATGAGGCTGCTTTTGCGGGTAAATGATTGCGGACACTCGTCGCAGCGAAATATGTTATGCTGGACATTTATGTGCTGCATAAGAACTTCGTTTTGGTTGGTATTAGATGGTGAGCAATTGGTGCTCGCTTTCGTATGCATTTTCATATGATTTTTAAGTTGGTATCTCAGTTGAAAAGATTCATGACAAACTGTACACCCAAAGAACTTAGTTTTCGTGTGAATCAATTGGTGACCTGCAGGCAAATCACACTGATATGGTTTCTCACCAGAATGGATCTGCATGTGAATTTTAATGTTGCCTTTCTCGCTGAACTTTTGTGAACACAAATCGCACTGGTATGGTTTCTCACCAGAATGGATCCGCATGTGCCTTGTGAGATAACTATTTGTAGTAAAAACTCGTGAACAATCCGAGCACTGGTATGGTTTCTCACCAGAATGGATCCGCATGTGAATTTTAAGATGGCCGTTTTGGCTGAACTTTTGGGGACACCATTCGCACTGGTATGGTTTCTCACCTGAATGAAAAAGCATGTGCCTTATGAGATAACTATTTTTAGTAAAAAGTCGTAAACAGACCGAGCACTGGTATGGTTTCTCACCAGAATGGATCCGCATGTGCCTTGTGAGATAACTATTTGTAGTGAAAGCTCGTGAACAAACCGAGCACTGGTATGGTTTCTCACCAGAATGGATCCGCATGTGAATTTTAAGATGGCCGTTTTGGCTGAACTTTTGGGGACACCATTCGCACTGGTATGGTTTCTCACCTGAATGAAAAAGCATGTGCCTTATGAGATGACTATTTTTAGTAAAAAGTCGTGAACAAACCGAGCACTGGTATGGTTTCTCACCTGAATGGATTCGAATGTGTTTTTGAAGGTTGCCTTTCTCGCTGAACTTTCGTGAACACAAATCACACTGGTATGGTTTCTCACCAGAATGGATTCGCAAATGTGATGCCAGTAGACTGGAATTGCGGAAAGACTTTTGGCATACATCACAAGAATGGCATTCCCTCGAGGAACTCGGTTTTTCGGCCATATTATTTTGTTGTGATCGATGTATCTCGAAAGTTGCAGCTACGGATTCTTTTGTAGTGGTCGTTGGTATCGTGTATTTTTGTTGTAGTAATAGCAATGCTGTGGTTCAACGGCCAATGCGGCTGAGAAACAACAAAATTGTAAGCTATAAAAATTTAAATTTGTTTAAGCAAGGACTTAATTATATGACTATATTTACAGCATTACCGATTAGAAAAAAAAAACTTTTTATGTATTCAGCAAGTTGTAAAATAAGTTATATTTTATTAAGTTATACTTTGATGTTCTTTTGGATTAAAAAAATTTTTTGAAAATGTATCTAGTTAATATATTGGGAAAACTAAAGAAGTTTTACACAACTCGCCAAGTGTATATACGTCACTACTTGCCATTACAATCCAGAAAACAGTTACTTTGGTTCCTTTATTACGTATCACTGTATTCTAGCCATGACCTTTTTTTTTGAGCCTTCTGTGCGTGAAACACAAATTATCGAATTACCTGTATGGAGTGTGCAGATATCTAATTTCCGTAAAAGTAATTTTTCGAGCTGTTATGCGTCAAGTAATAACTTGGCACATTGCAGTGTATTAAAAAATCACTTGGTGTACTAACAATACAAGTTATACTTCGTAACTTTTGGCCAGACATAATAAATTGTGTTTCCCACGCGATACAAGTCTCTTTTAGATATTTAGAAATGAGCCAAAATACCAGTTTTTTTTCTTTTGCAAACAAAAACAAAGGTTCGTGCGAATGAAATAGCAGCTGATTTTTTAAATTAATAAAAAGACTTACCTTTTTGACTTGATGGATTTTCTGTCTAGATTTGGTTGCTCAAACACTTGCCGAATAACATATTTATTCACTTGTTTTGTTGAACAACGTTGATATGGCTTTGTATTTTCAATTTATCACCTACAACATTACTGTAGAAGAAAAGTATTGTTGATCAAGTGTTGCTGCACAAAAATAGCTAAAGCGTTGACTTCCCGCTGTCACAAGGAGAACTGCTATATCCAAACTGCTGTCGGTGCCTTCCATTCAATGATATACTTACAGCAAGTGTTGAAGTAGTCATAGATATTTTTAGTTTCCTAAGAGATATTACTAATGACATGATAATTGGTTATTGGTATTTGTCGCAAGAGTCACTATACACGTGCGTATAGCATTTGGGCGATACTTTATTTTGACGTGGTTAACTTGAATTCACGAAGATAAAATGTTAGACTAAAATTTGCGTTTACGATTTTTTTTCTACGTAGTACATGACATTGCGAACAAAATGAGCCTCGACTCGAGGGTGTGCAGCAAAAATAAATTTTTTTTTTCTTTTTCAAACTTAGACCAATTTCGAATATGTGTGCGTTTGCATGTGAGCACTCCTACATGAATATTATAAACTAAAGTTGTCGAATTTAACCTCAGAATTTTGTAATGATATATAGGGATTTCTTGGTGTTAAAGGCAATCAAAATACATAAGTATAATAAAGGGTAGGATAATGCGTAACTAAAAATGATATTTTTATGTGCACAAGAACACAAATTAACAAATAACAATTTATTTTAGTTGCTTACGTCTACTTCCTATGCTTGAAATTTGATTTATTTAATCGTTACAATTTAGGTTTTATTCAAAATCATTTTCAATGTGTATTACTGACAGTAAATTCATTTCTCTTGGGGTATTAAGTGTGAAAGTTATTTGATACTCTTTTGGATTAAAAAATACTGTTATCAAAATATGCTACTCCGTAGAGACCTGCTACTTAGGTGACAATCTCAAGTTTTGGAATCTGCAAGTTTTAAATCGTAGTATAGTTATAGCCAAATAAATACACGAGTATATCTTTAGTCACGGGATAACCTAACAAAGACTCCTAAGAATGAGAAAAAAAAAAAAAAAGAAAATCGTTGCGCAATAATTACTAAAAAAATTGCATGATGTTTTTCTATCAAAATTTTACATCATTTATATTGTTTAATTGCAGTTTGATATTTGGATACATAGTTTACTTAATTCAGAAACCAATTTTATTTCTTAGTTTGACTCATCCTTCGCTTCCTGAAGAACTGGTTTAGTCGAGGTTTAGTGTTGCGACTGGAGTTTTTTTTATATCAGTGTATGGGTATCATGTTTTTGACTCTTTGCAAAAGACAAGTAACTCAATACTGCACTTGTACGTAATGGATATTAATGTTGAAAAATTATATTCTCTGTTGAATTGAATAATTATTAATTTTTTTCTTTTTTCTTCATTATCCCTAAAGTCGTATTTTTACACATACATACACAAGACCATTATGGAAAAGGCGTCTCTGGCTGCACAACAAAAATAGGATATAACAGATACACTACAACCAAACCGCTGCAGCATTAGCAGGTATTATGGGATTAGAGGGCGATAGATCGAGCAATTACAGCTTCGGTCAACCCACACATGCAGAAACGACCCCCAAACTATCCCTTGCACCTAATGAATTTTTCACACCCCCGACGCTCAACAATCATCCCGCGCTCCACACGCACAGCCTTATTTTTCACCCACTCTGTTTTCCAATTTTTTTTTTCCTCTTTTCCTTGGCTGTCATTGTTCCCGCCGGCATCCACCCGCAAACAAGGGGTACAAAGGCCTCGCGCTTATTACTCTGCCCTCGGTTAATTAACCCCTCTTTTTTTTCTTTGCTCCTCCTCAAAAATTCCGCTAAATGCCGAGACTCTTTTCGCGTCTGAGAAAATTCCTAGTCTCTTGGAATGTGATGTTGGTACTTGATACTGGAATCAACCGCTTCTTACAAATTCGCCAGACTTTCCCATCAGACTACGTAGAAAAGTGACGACTTGCACGCTGCAGCATGTACAACTAAGTATTTCATGCAATGACTGTTGTGATGGAATTCTTTATTTGATGTTTTTATCAAGAAAAGCTGGTCAATATTTAATAGAATGGAAATTTACTTTATAAACTCTATGGGGAATAGTTGACTTGAAGCGTTTACGTGTTGATGGTTGCAATGTTGGAATTGGGTAAAAATTAAAACGCAAATGATAAACATCAAGATAAATTCATACCATCAAAAATGTACAAATAAATTTAAATTACAAAGTAGTATGAGTTAAACGTACTGCACAGTAAAAATAAATGGATGCTTTTTTAAAGAAAAGTTGAATTTCCGAATAAAACCAAATGAAGAACTCTTCTGTTAACGACTTGATGAAAAATAACAAGTTCAAGGCAAAAGGCTGATTCGAAATTGTCGAAATTTCTGAAACTTCATACATATTTATGTGTACATCAATAATAGGCATATTTATGTATAAATATTTACGAAATTCGACCGTCAGTGAGTTAGTCACATACGACAAACTTCACTCGGAAAGTAATGATTGTATTTTTGTTCAAGTTGTCAATAAAAAAGTTCCAAATTACGAGTGATTACAAAATTACAACTTTTCTTAAAAAAGACAGTTACGTCAAGTGAAAATTTTTCACTTGTACAACAATAAATACACCGATTAGCGAATAGTCATGGAATTATCATTCGTGACCTCCGAGCGTGTGGCTGGGCAATGTAAAAATACCCGATCGCAAGGAGTGCGACAACAGAGTTCAATAATCGTGGTGGGATGGTTTCGCATCCCCTAGAAATACCAAGCCACCAAATGGGGAGACTATACGAGAGGCATCCAATTATGATACCTACATCGGAGTTTTGTCCAGGGGGTTTCAAGTACGCAGTTTCCCAGTGCGGTGCATGCCAACAGTGTGCCGTGAACCTATAGGTAGTAGTAGTTTCAGTCGTGTGGGCGGCATATACAGCTCTTGAGGAAGTGGTGACACAATAGGCAACGATAACAATGATACTTGTCCTGTACACTGTTCCTTCTGGTGCTAATATTGCGCGTTGGCTGTAGGTGTATATAATATATACCATATCGGAAAAATGACTGACGCAGATACACTTTTATGCACGTTTTAACGCCTCGGGAAATGGTAGAATGCAACAGCTCAGATTTGCTGGATCGAAAAATCTGTTTTTGACACTGCAGTTTTGAAAATACGAGTTGTTTTCCATGTTGAAATTTAGATTTACTCAAAAGGATTGTCCGTTTGCTTACATCATTACATTATTATTGTTATCCTTAAATAGTAGTGATATTTATGTGTAGGTATATATAATTTGAAAATAGCCACATGTGAAAGTGGCCGCAACGTAGATTATTTCCACTTAAGTTTACTCTGCTTCTAGTTTTATATTTTTGGATAAACATTGTTTTCATGACTTAAGGATTTTCTTCTTGATCCTTTATGCTGGAGAAAAAGAAGGGAGCATTATCCATATCGCAATGAGTTGAGAAGTGTTCAAACGCACCAACTCCTCGTTACCAAAAGGTTCTCGTCAACTTTGCCGTACTTTTCACCCATTAAAAAAAAAAACTCCTTAAAGCTTATGCCTTTTGCATACCCTTGCATCCCGACCCACTTCATAGAAGACAGCGTTTCGTCGATTAATTCATCAAAAAGCTTTCAAGGACCCTCCGTTATTTCGGTCAAAGTGCATTTGACAGCGGGACACATCCATCCGTATACCATGGACAGACGTGTCGAGGAGCCCGGCATCAAGAGCTCGACTGACGCGCGTGTGACGTGTACCTGTACACGTGTCGCATAAGGCAAAGACTTTTCCTCGGAAAACCGATCCATTTTTATTTTCACACCCCCTACTCATGTGCACCGGTATTCATCCCCAAATGTTTCAAAAGATTTCAGCAACATTAACCCTCTCTCCCACTTTCTTTTGCGTGTATTTGTCCTCGTATCACATAGACCAGGGCTGACTAGACGCTCCTCGTACATTGGCTCTGACTTGATTATTCCATCCACCCTCGCTGCGATTCCTCGTTAATGTCTCCTCGAGGGAAACGAGTTCACGTTTAACCTTGTAAACAACGAGACATTAAATTTACCACCTACACATATACGGGGTACACGTAATTTTTCTTCCTCGTTAACCAGCGGTAGATTAATTTCTCTTACCCCCCACTTTCCACACGATTCATCGATATCATCGGACGCGCGCAGTATAGTCTCT